GGCCACTGCCTGAGTTTGACCAGGTGAGATGACAGCAGGAGAAGCAGCACCCGAAGGGATTATAGCGGTTCCCCAAGGCCACCCAGATCCAGGAATAATGCCTGTTTCCACCAGGGACACAGGAAAGCCTCCTAATTTTACAGTGCCGTTAGAGGACTCAGAAGGATCTTACCTCGGTAGGCAGATGTATTATTCATATCATCAATGCTTCTCTGAAAGCTCACCAAATTTTTGAAGTTATAGCATCAAACAAATTGTTTCAAAGTAAATGTATCCTAGAATAAAATCCAAGACTATTTGTAAGAATGTACAATTATGCATTATTCACTGAAGTAAAATTCACACTGTCCGGGGTCCTTAGAGGTAGAAAGACAAGACAATATTCACCAAAGTAAAAAGGAAAGCCAACTGGGTCTGGTGTGGTGGCCCAGTGGCCGAAATCTTTGCCTTGCATGAGCTGGGATCCCAAATGGATGCAGGTTCTAATCCCGGCAGCCCTGCTTCCCATCCAGTTCCTTGCTTGTGGCCTGGGAAAGCAGTCAAGGACAGCCCAAATCCTTGGGAGACCTGGAGGAGACTCCAGGCTTCTGGCTTCGAATCAGGAACCCACATGGGAGACCTGGAGGAGACTCCAGGCTTCTGGCTTCGAATCAGGACAGCTCTGGCCATTGCAGCGCTTAGGGAGTGAATCATTGGATGGAAGTTTTTCCTTTCTGTCTCTCCTCTCTCTATATCGGATTTCCAATAAAAATAAAATAAATCTTAAAAAAGAAAAAAGAAAGAAACAGATGAAAGTCCAAAGTCAGGGGCCTGCCTGGCTGGCCTCAGAGTAGATGACCATGGCAGTGCATGTGACAGTTAAAGATAGGCTGCCAGAAAGCTCATGGCCAGGCTTGCTCTAATTGTAACAATCTATTCTCAAGGTCAGTAAGCACAAGGAGAACTCCCTTAATCCCTGCCAAGGGTAGCACCCTGATGATCTAACCACCTTCCACCAGGCCCTGCCTCTTAAAGGTTCTACCACCTCAACTGCCAAACTGGGCACCAAGCCTCCAACACACGAACTTTTGAGAGACACAGCAAATCACAGTATTGGGGATGAAGACTAAGTCTGGAAGCAGCCATGGCAAAAAGACATGTTATATACAGAGAGACAGAACTAAGGGCAACAGATCTCTTGAAGGAAACATCCATGCACGCCAGAAGAGAGTATTTTTTTTTTTTTTTTTTGGTTCCAAAAGAGAGAATTTCTTGGTACGAAAGGGAAAAAAAAAAAAAAAGCTTTCACTTCTACAATTCCATGTCTCTAAGACATAGTTTCCCAAAAAATGAAGATGAAGTAAATGCTTTTTGGATATGCAAAAACTGAAAGAATGAACCACAGCCAATCAGCACTACATTATGTTAAAGAAAGGCTTTCAGGAAGAAGGTCATGATAGTTAAAAACATGAGTCTACACAAAGGAATGCACGCCCTGGATGCAAGTGGGTAAACATGATGTTTTTCTTCTTTAAATCTCTTTCAAAAGGCTAAAACACAAACAAAAATACCAATGTGGCATGAGTTTAATAATATATGTGAGGAAAATATGATAATAATATACAAATGCCAGGAGAGAAATGGAAATGCACTAATGTCTGAGGATAGATGACAGATTAAAGATGCACACTGCAAACTCAAAACCAATAACTAAAATAAAAAAACAGTTACAGCTAATAGACCGACAAGAGATTAACAAAACCATAAAAATAACTAAAGTGGGGGAAAAAAGATAAAAAAGAATAGAAAAAAAACCCAAAGAATAGAAAACAGCCAGATCTCACCATATCAATAATACATTAAATTTCAAGCTTCCAATTGAACGGTAGGGATTCTTAGATAAGACAACAAGACAATACGTGCTGTGGACCAAAATATCACTTAAATATAAAGACATACGGACCTGGCAAAAATGGTTGAATGGTTAAATCCTCACTTCACAAATGTTGGGATTCCATATGGGCACTGGTTCATTTCCCAGCTGCCCCACCTCCCATCCAGCTTCCCGCTTATAGCCTGAGAAAGCAGTAGATGATGGCTCAAAGCCTTGGGATCCTGTTTCTGCATGGGAGACCCAGAAGAAGCTCCGGCTCCCGCTTTGGATTGGATCAGCTCGGCTCTGGCCATTACAGCCATTTGGGAAATGAACCAGCAAATGGAAGATCTTTCTGTCACTCTTTGTCTTCATAAATCTGATCTGACTTTCCAATAAAAACAAATAAATAAATCTTTAAAAAAAAAAAAAAGCTGAGTGGCTATATCAAACCTAGCATGTGTCAGAGCAAAGACTCCAGGGATCAGGTTCATCTCATAATGGAGAAGGGATGAATTCATCAAGACAGTACAATATCTAAACATTCATGTACCTTGTAATAGCTTCAGAACATATGACCAGGGCATGGCACAGTAGCCTAGCAGCTAAAGTCCTCACCTTGCTTGCACCAGGATCTCATAAGGGTGCCAATTCCTATCCCAGCTGCTCCACTTCCCATCCAGCTCCCTGGTTATGGCCTGGGAAAGCAGCAGAGGACAGCCCAAAGCCTTGGGACATTGCACCCTCGTGGGAGACCTAGAAGATGTTCTGCTCCCTGGCTTTGGACTAGCTCAGCTTCAGTTTTGTGGCCACTTGGGGTGTGAGCCAGCAGATGAAAAATCTTTCTCTCTGTCTCTCCTTCTCTCTGTAAATCTGACTCTCCAATTAAAAAATAATAATAATTTTAATTGTAAAAGCCCCCACACAAAGCTTAAAAGAAGCCCAAGGAGAAACAGACAAGTCCACAACTGCAGTCCTCTGCACACCCTCCTCCTGACACGGGCGTACCTTGTGTTAGTGAGCTGCAGAGAGAGTGGGCTTTATCATGTAAGGCTTGAGGCAACGCCAGGCGAGCAAACTTGTCAGCACCATGCTTCCCACAGCATGTGCTACGTCATGCCTCTGCATCACATTTTAATAATTCTCACAATATTTTACACTTTTTCATTCTTACTGTATCTGTTACACTGACCCATGGTCAGCGGTCTTTGATGTTACTGCTATAATTATATTGGGGTATCAAAAACTATGCCCACATAAGATGGCACACTCAGTTGATAAATTCTGTGTGTTCTGGTTGCTGTTCACTTATTTTGTTCTTGCAAGACAGCAATACTGAAATTAGGACAAATCTACTGCTAAAGGGTCATTAAGGATTCAGGTGATAGGACCAGTCACACCTCTCTTAGTTTAAATCAAAGCTAGAAATGACTAAGCTTAGAGAGCCATGTTGAAAGCAAAGATATGCTAAAATGAGGTTTTGCATCAACCAAGGTGTGAATGCAAAGAAGTTCGTTTTTGGTGGGTTTTTTGTTTTGTTTTATTTTGTTTTGTTTTTAGCTTATTTATTTGAAAGGCAAAGTGACAGTGACAGATACAGGGGCAGAGGCAAACAGAGAGAAAAAGAATCTTCCATCCTGGTTTACTTCCCAAATGGCCACTAACAGCCTGTGCTGGGCCAAACCAAAGCTGTGAGCTATAAACTCCATCCCAGCCTCTCGGGTACACGAGCCACTTTTCACAGCTTTCTCGCAAGCTGTATCAGAAGCAGAGTAGCTGGGAACCCATTGGAACTCTGATATGGAATGTTGATGACACAAGCAGTGGCCTAACCAGTTACGCCACAATACTGGCCTCAGCAAAAACTTCTTGGAGGAAATTAACTTTTTTTTTTTTTTTAGTGAATACATGGATACTAACATTAAGTCAAACAGCTTGATGGGTGGATATGGAGAAAGTTTCAGTGGTCTGCTTAGGAGATCAATCAACCACAACATTTAGCCAAAGCCTACTCCAAAGCAAGGTCTTAACTCTTCAGGTTACTTGCAGGCTGAAGGGCGAGGAAGCTACACAAGTTGAGTTTGACAAGAGCAGAGATAAAGAAAGAAGCCATCTCCTCAACATCAAAGTGCAGAGTGAAGCAGCGAGTGCACACTGATGTAGAAGCTGCATTCAACTACCCAGTCTCGCTGAGCTCACTGAGGAAAGGGACCACATTAGCCAACTCCACCCTCAAGCTGTACAGTGGGAGAGATGCCACCTGGGACTTTTAGAGTTAGAAACAAGGTAACTTCTGGCTCCAGAGCTTCAAAGACACGCTTTCTGCCTAGAGACTAATGTAGCTGGTAAGTTTAACGTGAAGTCAGTACCCCTTAACCCATCCCTAAATCCTACAGCCCTCAAGAATCAGACTACACCTATTCTGGCTGTACTCTGAAAACGGAACCTCGTCAATACAGGAGAACAGAGCGTATCTTACTTAAGTCGTCTGTTTACCACTACCCTAGGTCTGCAGCCAAGGAAACAAAACAGCGTGAAATCTTGTTAGGTGGTTACCGAGGGTGATCATCCCACACAGTGCCTGCGCCTTGGCGAGTGTTCAGGGGCGCCATTCCCGACCCCATGTTGGCCTCCACGTTGCCAACCTTGAACAGTTCCACAATTAACAGCCACTTTCCTTGTTGTTAACTCCTCCAGTTTCCTTAACAGAAAATTCTCTGCCAGCGGGGCACACACTCCCTGAACCACCGGGATCGCTGAGGGAAACGCTTGAGGAAAGTTCTGAGGGTGAGGACGCCGTTCGGAATGCATCTGGGGCTCCCGGGCGTCCGGCTCTGAGGAAAAACGCTGGAGGCTGAAGAGAAAGCCCCACAGGAGACCCCTGCAGTAGTGCCGCAGCTACGGCGTCAGCGGCAAACGTACGCTCGGAAAGCTGCCCTCACCTGAGCCGGCTGGCGGCGTCACGTCGTCCTGGTAACCGCCACTTCCGGTCCCTACCGGAAGCCTGCCGTGCCGCTCCTGGTGGGTGGAGTGAGGAGGGACCTGCGGCGGCCACGCCCCCTCGGCCCTGGGCCGGACCCCGAGTGTCCCCCGGGACCAGCGCACCCCACGGGAGCCAGGTGCGACGCGTGGCCGTGGGCTGGGCGCCATGGACGCCTTCACCCGCTTCACCAACCAGACCCAGGGCCGGGACCGCCTCTTCAGGTGAGTCAGGTGCCTTTCAGGGTGCCGGCTCTGGGGCACCCCGAGAAGAAGGAGGGAAGCCCTGGGGAAACCGGCCGCTCCCGCAGAGCCCAGTCTGGCGCTCGCACCCCGCCACACCCCAGCTTCAGTGGGGGTGGGCCAAGCCAGGCCTGCCACTCTCCCCCAGAGGCTTCTGATTGGAACTCCGAGCTCTCCCTGTCTGCCAACTTTGCTCCCGGGATGGTGGCTTCAGCTAGCCCTTGGCATGCTGCTGGACAGTTTTTTTGTTTTGGTTTTTTTGTTTTGTTTGTTTGTTTTATGCACCGTCTGAAAATTGCATTAGTGCCCAGTTGGCCTTGTTGGAGGTACTGTGTGGGAAATAATGTCGTAAACTGCAAAATAAAACCCGTGGGGAAAAACCCGTGGGAAAAAACTCCTTGTGCCTCGAAGATACACGCTGTGCTGCTGCACGAATCGGAGATTGTGCCTGCGGTTCCAATCCTGGTTCGCCCTGTGTCTATTAAGATAATCTGAAGGACAAATAATTACTGTTGCACTTTTACCTTCCCTTCTGCTGTGCAAGAAGGGCTGACTGGCAGAAGCTGGCTTTAAGACTGTCCTCAGAGCTTTGCAATGGTTAACTTGTCTAACCCTCACCACAGCCCCGTGTGATGGGGACTCAAGATGGCCCCATTCCACAGATAGGCAAAGTGCAGCAGAAGGAGGTGCCAAGGGGCAGAGGTGAGCTATTGCAAGCCACTGTCCCCTTCCCAGCCCCACCGTGCCTGCTTTCTGGCCGGCCTGCTATTGTCTTCAGAGTGGCCGGGCTCTGTGTACGCAGCATGCAAACACAAGCATGATTTTGCAAGGTTTGTCAAGGAGATCAGTGAATCAAGGAATCCCAGAACATACATGCGGTGCTTCGGGAACTCTGCAGGAAAGGGAATTATAAGACAGGTTTATTTGGGTGCAAAATGTACTGAAATTCATGCCTTTGCAGGATCTTCATGAAGTTCATAAAAAAAATGTGTACTATAAAAAAATAGGTATGGATCTCAAAAATTTTTGCATTAAAATAAGCAAACCTCCCCGGTCTACATTTTAAAGATTTATTTCTTTGTATTGGAAAATCAGGTTTACAGAGAGAAGGAGAGACAAAGATCTTTCGTCTGCTGATTCACTCCCCAACTGGCTGCAGCGGTTGGAGCTGAGCCAACCCGAAGCCAGGAGCCAGGAGCTTCTTACAGGTCTCTTGCTCGGGTACAAGGTCCCAGGACTTTGTGCCGTCCTTCACTGCTTTCCCAGGGCACAAGCAGGGAGCTGGATGGGAAGCAGGACTGTTGGAATACAAACCGGCACCCATATAGCATCCTGGCACGTTTAAGGTGAGGACTTCAGCCGTTAGGCTATCACACCAGGCCCCAACACATTTATATTTTAATCTTACTTTTCGAAGAACTTTTTGAAGAATCTCCATACTTACTTATCAAGGCCTGAGGTCTCTAGCTTTCATATTCCAACCCCTTTATCACATATGTATATATGTGCATATACGCACAAACTGGCATTCTATATTTATTATATATACACACATACATATATATATATACACACATACAAACTGGCATGTATTTTTATATATATTTATAAAACAAATTGATGTTCCTAAAATAATGCATGGTTTGGGGACCCAGTGCTGTGGTGAGATCTGGGAGCTGCAGGTCAGGAGCTGGACCCAGCGTGCAGTCACCACGCAGGAGGCTTTGTGTCTGTATCTGAGGGTCTGCATTGAGTGCTGACTACTCAACCAGCTTCCTGCTCCGGCACCCCGACCGAATTCTAGGCTCCTGGCTTGGGCCTGGCCCAGCTCTGAATCTTGCAGGCATTTGTGGAATTGACCAGTGGATGAAGCTCTCCATTGTCTTTCAAATAAAGTAAAGCATCAATGTAATATTTTTTTTTTAAGAGAGGTACATTGGGCCTGACACAGTAGCCTAGTGACTAAAGTCTTCCCCTTGCACACGCCAGAATCCCATAAGGGTGCAGGTTCATATCCCGGCTGCTCCACTTCCCATCCAGCTCTCCACTTGTGGCCTGGGAAAGCAGTCAAGGACGGCCCAAAGTCTTAGGTCCCTGCACCTGCGTGAGAGACCCAAAAGAGGCTCCTTATTCCTGGCTTCACATTGGCTCAGCTCCGACTGCTTTGGCCACTTGGGGAGTGGACCAGCAGATGGACAGTCTTTCTCTCTGTCTTTCCTTCACTCTGTAAATCTGGCTTTCAAGTAAAAATAAACAAATCTTTAAACAAACAAACAAACAAAAGATAGGTGCATTGCTGTAGCCAGCTTGAGCCCTCAGACTAGGAAGATGCTTTTCTTTGAAAAAAATGTGATCCCCATTTTCTCTACTTCCTGCCCAATATTAGGTTTGCCATTAGGGAAAATGTGCCACAATTCTATTGAAAATAAAGTGTGCAGTATAGATTGACATGCAATTCCAGGACAGTAGTAACCAGGTGGCTTATTCAATACACTGGCTAAAACACCAGGATGTCCGTGTGCTATAAACCTCTTTTATTACATTTGTCATCAAGTCATTGTTGCTTACAGGCACAACAGTCATGACTTTATTGACCAGGTACCATCATTAGATGGAGTTGTACCTGTGTTTTATGTAAAACACTAATTAATAATAGCGGAAAGCAAATATCAAAAACATGCCCTAATTTGTGTCCTGTCCCTTTAGTTTAAGCTAAACTTGTTAAAGCTGTGAACTTTTCTCAGGGTTCTGGTTTGTGTTTGTGTCCCATCGCATACAGAGCAGGTTACCCACATGGTAGAAGAGTTGCTTGTCGTGGCCTCCCTGGGGAACATACAGGCTGTGAACCTTCACAGGCATAGCACAACGGCAGTTTCCGTGGGCTTTCCTGCCCTGGCTGCGTGCGTTGCTCAGGGCCAGCACGGGGCCATCCGCATGGTTGTTCAGCGCATGGCTGCAGTTCCTTTCATAACCTGTGTGCAGCATTTCCATCATTGTTCTGCCCTTCGGCCCATCCACAGAATCGCTGTTGCAGGAGTTGGCTCGTGAAAGAGCTGCTGCCCGGGAAGCATCGCGCTTGGCTGCGTGTGTTCTCTTTGCTGTCCTGGCCGAGTCCAGCTTGATTGGATGTGTCAGTCACTCTCCTCCCATTGTCTTCCATTGCAGAGCCACTCAGTACGCATGCATGTTGCTTTCGTATTTGTTAGAGCCTAAGGCTGGCAAAGAGGAGGTGGTCATGAAGCTCAAGAAACTGGAGTCCAGTGTGAGCGCTGGCCGTAAATGTAAGTACCCTGTCTCGTGGAGGCCAGCGGCTCCTGGCTTAGAGCCCCAGCCCTGCAAGTCTCCGGATACATTCTAGGGCATTCTTTTCCAATCAGTCAAGCTTGTTGGTGAAGTTGGAATGTGGGTGTCTCACAGCTGGCCATTCTCATACCCCACTTCTGTGTTTGCATTTGGTGCTACACCATGCCTTCCTAACACACATGAAACCTGCAGGAGACTTTTTGTTCTAGAATCACTATTTCGGCAGTCCCCAGCCTGAGCTTCTAGCTCTTGTGGACCTTTTTGTTCTGTGGAGGAACAGCACAGCTGTCCGAGAACACCTGCCTTGTCCTTGCTGCTGTGGGGGTTACCTCTACAGAATGGATACATAGCGGCTCAAAGCTGGAGTGGGACAACCGAGCTTTGGCACTCACTTGATTGCTTTAATAGTCAGTCAGTTGGGACGTCCTGTGCTGCTGTAGCAACCATAGCCTGAATCTTCACTGTGGGTAAGAAGTGGACTTCACTGCAGTGTACCACAGGTAGAAGATCGCATGTTCATCAGCTGTCCCCAAGCACCTGCTTTGTCCCCAGGCACAGTTCCAGGCTTTGTGAGAAATCACAGTGTCCATAATGATGAAGGTTTAGTGCCAAATGTGTTGTCTGTGGGAGAGGAAAAGAAAAGGGTTTGGGAGGAGGTGGAGCTTGAGTTGTGGTTGAAAGAAGGAGGCGGGTTCCTCTAGTAAGGGCTGAGTACTGGGTCAGACTGGTGAGCTGGGCAGACACAGTAAGGAGCTTGCACTGTCAAGCAGAGGGTCGGAAGGGTGGCTGGGGTTCTGGGTGCGTTGAAGCCAAGGTTTGACATTCTTAGATATATATATTTTTAGAATCTTAGAGTTTGAACATATTTTTTAATTTTAATTTCAGTTTTAAGATTTGAAAAGCAGAAATAACAGCCATGAGTGAGGAAGGAAGGAAGGAGAAAGAAAGCGCTCCCTCCATTGGTTCACTCCTCAAATGGCTGCAACTGCTAGAGCTAGGGCCGACCAAAGCCAGGAATTTCATTCAGTTCTCCCACATGGGTAGCAGGGGCCTAAGAACTGGGGCCATCTTGGGAGCTGGGTTGGAAATGTAGCAACTAGCAGTGAACCAGTGTTGCAGTATGGGGTGTTGACACTACCACACTGGCCCCTCGCATGTCTAGATGTCGCTGAGATCCAGAAGGGACCTATCCAAGCTCATCCAAGGTCATCCAAGCAATCATAGAATAGCCAGAGCTGGGCTCCAGAAACTACCTACTGTTATGTGCTATTTTTGATGGAGGACTACAAGGCATTCTTGTGAGGTTGTAAGTTCTCTGGAAGTAACTGCTTTTGAGCCCTTACTGAGTCTAAGGTCTAAGTGGACAATATTATTAATTGTCCTGGCTACTAAGTCCTGCTATCTGCTTTATCTTAGAAATAGCTCCTATGTGCAGATTCCTCCAAATGCCTGCAGTATCTAACCTAGGCCAGGCCAAAACTGGGTGCTAGGAACCCCACCCAAGACACCCACATGGATGCCAGCACCCAGCTGCTGCCGCCAAGGTCTGTATGAGTGGGAGTGAGTATTGGAGTCAGGAATAGAACCAGGGATCGAATCCAGGAAGTCCCTTGTGGGAAGTGTGTCGTTCCACCAGGTCAGACACCTGCTCTCTACTTTGTCAAGAGACAAAGGACTCTGGAGTAGACAAGTGACAAGAAGATAACGGTGTCATTTAAGAAGTAGTCTTTTGTCTAGAAAGTAAATGACAAAAAGACATCAGACTCCCCCAGGGCAGACTGCACTGGCTTTCACACTGTCACAGCACCTTTCTTCTAAAGAGGCACAGCTGGGAGCAGTCAGGTGTGGGAAGGCACCCTCATGCCTTGCTGTGCACATGCTCCAAGTCAGCCTTGAGGAGGTAAGTGGGCGGGGAGGAAATAACTGTATGCTTCCTGGGATCATTTTAGGGATCCCCAACACGCGCACACACACACACACACACACACACACACACACACACACACTCACTGTAATGTCTCCTTCCCTAGCCAAAGCTGAGCCTCAGTGGGTGTTTGGCACAGCCGTGAAGTTGTACTTGGGATGCTTGCTTCCCATTTGGGAGTGTCTGGGTTTAAGTCCTGGCTACTCCACTTGCTCTCCAGCTCTCTGCTAATGCATCTGGGGAGGCAGCGGATGAGTCAAGTATTGGGTCCTTGCCACCCAAGTGGGAGACCCACGTGGAGTTGTAAGTTCCTGGCATCAGTTTGGCTCTTAACCAACACTGGCATTTGAGGAGTTAACCAGTGTATGGACAGTCTCCCTTTCTGCCTTGTCTCCCTGCCTTTCGCATTAGTAAAAATGAGAGAGGAAAAACACCCTGACCAGTGCTGATTGCCTACCCTGCAGCATGCATTCTGCCTTCCCCTCATGTACCAGTGAATGACAGTGAACCGTGTGGATTCCTCTTGCAGGGTTCAGACTGGGCAACGTGGTCCATGCCATGCAGGCAACCAAGCAGAGCATCCGTGCCACCGACCCTGTGCCCCGCCTATGCCTAACGCTAGCCAACCTGAACCGTGTGATTTATTTCATCTGTGACACCATGCTCTGGGTGAAGAGCGTGGGTCTGGTCGCTGGCATCAGCAAAGAGGCATGGAGGAGGCGAGCTGCCCGCCACTACTACTACTTTCTGCTGCTGAGCCTGGCCAGGGACGTGTATGAAATCTCCCTGCAGATGGGACGGGTCGCGCACGACAGAGCCAAGAAGGAGAAGGGGTCCTCGCAGAGTCCTTCTGGGTTCAGCGTGGCCGACGAGGAGACGGAGTGGCTGCAGTCCTTCCTCCTCCTCTTGTTCCGGTCTCTGAAGCGCCACCCCCCACTGCTGCTGGACACTGTGAAGAACTTGTGTGACATCCTGATCCCTCTAAGCCAGCTGGGGATCTACAAGTCTAATCGAGGCCTCATCGGCCTGGGAGGGTTCGTGTCCTCAGTTACAGGCATCATCACCGTGGCCTATCCGCACATGAAACTCAGGACCTGCTAGGGTCCTTTGAGGGCTGAGCCAGACTGGCCTTCAAAGGCGACCTGCTCGTGGAGTGGACACTTGCTGTGGTCACAAGCCAGGCCGTGCCTGGGTTCTCATTCTAGCCAAATCTGAACAACTGCATCGCTGGGAGACAGGAGCCAGAATGAAGAAGGGAAGCATGAAGATTTCAGCTCATGTGATTTTCAAGATGCTGGAATCACTGCTGGATTTCTGAGTATTTTCTCTGTGTTCAACATTTAGTGAACATTTCTGATGTGCCCAGTAGGAACTTAGAATAAGATCTGGAAGGAAAATTGAACATGGCCCAATCAATCACATGGTGACACTTTGGGTATGGTTTTTGCTTGACTGCCCATGCAGAGCATCTAAGGATCCACTATACCCCACTGCCACCCTTGGGTCTAATATTATCTGTGGGTAGAGGTCATTAGGCAGTGTCATGACTCAGCCACAATTGGAAGCAGAAAGGAGTTGAGGTGAAAATGGGTAGAAGGTCACCTGTTATGTGGCCTGGGACGGATAAGGGTGCTGAGAAAATATAAACACTACTGGTTCTTCTGACTGGGAATCCTTGTTTGTCCCCAGGAGTCTTCCTGAGTTCCTGGCAGAGTGGGAGCCGGGGACTCTAGGACTCTGTGCTTTTATCTCGCCACTCGCCCTAACTCAGTACTTCCATTGGTCAGTGCTTCATAGTCTGTTCTACAAAACTGCAAACTGACTTGTGAGCCAGCTTGTTCTTGTCTAACCCCATGTAACAGTCTGAGTGCTTCTGCATTAATTAGCAGTTTAACATGTCATGACTTGAGTGTGCGAGGGTTGCAGTTTACTCTGATAAATCCAATTCCTCATCATAGGGTGCCCGGGGGAGACGGGAAAGGTCAGGAAGGGGCCCAGAGGACATTTCCCTGGGTTCCCTGCCTCCCATCCCGGGTGTCAGATTTTATGGGGACAGATCCTTTCATCTGAGGGAGGTGAAATGGGCAGGTGAGACGCCAGCAGGTGGGGGCAGAGTCAGTCCAATCAGTAAGGCTGTGTCATTTCCCTGAACGCAAATGTGAGCAAAATTCCCACAGGCACAACTTGTCTGTGGACTCAGGTCCTTGGCTCTCTGTTCTCTAGGCACACAATCAAGACACGGGGTTTGAGAAAGCACAATTCGGGCCCTTGAAGAGACATGCCCAGTACTGTGTATCAGGGCCGATACAGTTTAAATGACTGTTTAGACCTTGTCCAGATCCTGCATTCTGGTAGGTTCATTATGTCCAATAAATTCTGAAACAAACTGACCTGTGTGTCTGTACATGTTGTGGGAATAAAGCCCCAGTGAGAGGCCACCCCACTCACTGAGCTCTGGGACGGGAAGACTGAGAAAGATCACGCTGGGGTAGGGGGCGACCCCAAAGATGTCTTCAGCTGTTTGGCTGTCCGGGGCGCTGCTTGCTCCTGGAGGTGATGATGCGTGGCCCTGTGCCTGTCTTGTACTTCTGTCCCCTGAGGTTGGGATGGGACATACCCTCCAGGGCATGAGCGCCTTCAGTGGGGCCCTGGGCTTTCTCCTTCCCAGCTAAGCCACCCCTCCTGTAAGCTTCCATGTTCACAAGAGTTTCCAAAAACTAAGGACTTAGAGAGCAGCACATCCACAGCTGAGCGTTGCTGCTGAAGGAGTGAGGCAGTCAGCCAGACCCACTTCTGGTGATCCACCTAGGAATGGGACAACCCAGCCCCTGCTCTGGGGAGAAGGGAGAGGAGAGAGAACTGTGCCCTGCAAGCTGCCGCTGGCCAGCTGCCCAGCCCTCTTCCCCGGGCCTCGCCCACGCCCTTTCACCGCCTCTCACCTCTCACCCACATTCTGGAACCGCTGCCCTAGTGGCCAAAGGACCCGCTTTGTCAGCAAAACCTTCTCCTGCCTTTGGCCCAAAGCCACCACTCTGGATCAAGAGCTGCCCTTCGGCCCGGGGTTGCCGTCCAGCCACAGCCTCAAGGGACATCTGTCCTGTTCCAAGTGGAAGAGGCCACTGTTTCAGATACTTCCCTTGTGCCCATGAACAGGCCAGGCAGGTCACTGCCTGTTCACTGAATCGCACCCCCTCCTTTGTCAATCACCCTGCTTTGGGAGGCTGCCAGCATGCTGCCATCCCCCCACCTGACCTCCCACTGCCCGAGCCAGCACACCACAGACAGAGCTGAGCATACAGGATATGCCGGGAGACCCTGCTTCTCCACACCCTTGCCTGTCTTGTCTGTGGCCCACAGCACACCACTGCTCCGAGCTCCCACACAGACAGCTCTGCCACCCCCGGAGACTACATATGCTGGCTCCTGGAACCTTAGGAACCCTGGAAACGGTGGCTGACACCATGATGCACCACCAGTTCTGAAGGCAGGAACTAGATCTTGGGCTTGAGTCTGCTAAGGAATTAGAGGTAACAGCTCCTGGTCATCTGGGTGCTGTTGGTAGGAGCAGAACCTTGGTCACTTGTCACTGGCCCTGTGTGCCTTTTTTTTTTTTTTTAAAGATTTATTTATTTTTATTGAAAAGTCAAATATACAGAGAGGAGATAAGAGAGGAAGATCTTCCATCCAATGATTCACTCCCCAAGTGGCTGCAATGGCTGGAGCAAAGCCAATCCGAAGCTGGGAGCCAGGAGCTTCATCTGGGTCTCCCACACGGTGCAGCGTCCCAAGGCTTTGAGCCATCCTTGACCGCTTTCCCAGGGCACAAGCAGGGAACTGGATGGGAAGTGGGGCTGTCAGGACTAGAACCAGCGCCTGTATGGGATCTTGGAGCGTTCAAGGCGAGGACTTTAGCTGCTAGGCCACCCTGCCGCAACACCCCCCCCATCCCCGCAACCCCATGTGCCTTTCAATCATGCTGTTCACTTCTCACCCCTGCTAGAAACTAGGACAGGATGGGGGAAATGAGTTCAAAACTGCTCCCCACCCGCAAGAGACAAGGACTCAAAGATGAAGAAACTTACTAAAAATTAGAGCTTATGACTTTATTTATTTGAAAGAGTGAGAGATAGAGTCCTTCCATCTGCCAGTTTATTTCCCAAGTGGTCACAATGACCAGGACAGGCTCAGGCTAAAGCCAGGAGCCTGGATCTTCATCTGGTCTCCAACGTGGGTGCAAAGGCCCAAGGACTTGAACCATCTTCTGCTGCTTTCCCAGGCATATTAGCAGGGAGCTGGATCAAAAGTAGAACAGCAGGGCCTCTAACAGCCACCTGTGTGGGATGCCGGCCAGCCTCTCAGGAGGTAGCTTGCTTGCTGAGCCACAATATTGGCCCCTAGGGCCTAGCATGATAGCGTAGTGGTTAAGGTCCTCACCTTGCACGGCTCGGATCCCATATGGATGCTGGTTCTAATCCCGACAGCCCCCCTTCCCATCCAGCTCCCTGCTTGTGGCCTGGGAAAGCAGTTGAGGATGGCCCAAGGCTTTGGGACCCTGCACCCGTGTGGGAGACCTGGAAGAAGTTCCTGGATCCTGGCTTCAGATTGGCTCATCTCCAGCTGTTGCAGCCACTTGGGGAGTGAATCATTGGATGAAAGATCTTCCTCTCTGTCTCTCCTCCTCTCTGTATATCTGCCTTTCCAATAAAAATAAATCTTTAAGAAAAAAAAAAGAGAAACTATGTTGGCCCCTCGTGCCTCTGACTTTACCACCATGGATCTCCATTCTTTCTGGAAAACAGGATTGGTTCTGTGTTTTTCCTTGTTGCAAATGGAGGGCCGGAAAGAGTGAGTAGCAGAGGCCTCCATGGGGCTGCAGGAAACAACCATCTTTCAGCTCTGTGCTCTCCCTCCCTGTTGCTAAATGTGCTAAATGAAATCAGGATAGAACCCCAGGGGACAGCCCAGCTTCCTCTGTTCCCTACCCTCCCCTAGCTGGACGGCCTTGGTCACATTGCCCAAGGCTCCCTGCAGTGCCTGGACCCTTGAGTGCTCTCGGGGACACTCTGCAGCCTGGGCTCTGGTGGAGGCAGCAGCAGGCAGCAGCCGGGGTGAGTACGGGCTCAGGGGCAGCTGTCTCGCCTTGCTGGTTTAAGGCACTAATGAGAAGAGGTTGTGAGTAAGGTTGTCCTGGGGGTGAAGAGACGGCAGGTGACTGAGGGAGAGGTGCCAGGTGAATGACCAGAGCTGGGAGCAAATGCTCTGAGGCCACTGGCCTTTCCAGAGGCCGTCGGAAGAGCTTCCTTCCCTGGGGGAGTGTAGAGGGGAGGCCTGGCGACATACAGCAGAGCCAACCCAGAGCTTTGTTCCTTAAAAACAGAAAAGATGAAAGCCAACACTTGCTGCTTGAGTCTCTCCCGGGACTTTATTTAAGGGTCTAGAGACTTCCTCTCTTACAGTTGACTGGAATTATACTTCTCACCCAAGCCCCTTGTAAGAAACATCCTTCTTGACCGGCAGCCTGTGGAGCAGCTCAGGCTGTGGGACACCGGGGGGTGGCCTTGTGTAGGGTGCTCACTCCTGCAGCGATACCTTCTGCTGGGGGCATTCGTGCTCCCAGGAAGCCTGGTGGGCATGAATGGACAGGAAGTGCTTGTGTGGAGCCCAGGCCCCAGGGCTTGTGACGGACCCGGGACTCCGTGTCTTGCAGCGTGACAAGCAAAGATGACAGCGAACAAGGGCCTCACTTTGCTGGATGGAGACCTCCCTGTAAGTGACCCAGGCTCACAGGACCTAGGGATGGACGATGGAGATGGGGAGGGCCGGGTGGGAGGGGAGATAAGGGGACACCAGGCAAGGTGTGCCACAGCCACAGTCCTAGCTCAGGGACTACCCCGCTTGAGTTGTTCTTCTCCTCACTGTCAGCTGCAGAAAGACTGGGGTTTGGAGAGGGAAGAAGATGACCCAAGAACGCAAAAGATGGCAGTGTTGGTTGGGGAGGGAAGTCATGGATAGGGCCCTGCTGCACCCCAACCCCCAGCTGAGCATATGGGAGAAATCCCAGCAGTCTGTGGAAGGCAAAATTATAAGACAAGTTTATTGTGGTGTAAAAACTTTAGGGAATCCACATATGTGACTTCATGTAGAATGTATATTATAAAAAAACACTAGGACATAAATTTCAAAAATGTTTATATCAGAATTTGCTTATCTTTTAATTGCATTTGCTGTGATTTTTTAAAAAGATTTATTTTTATTACAAAGTCAGATATACAGAGAGGAGTAGAGACAGAGAGGAAGATCTTCCATCCGATGATTCACTCCCCAAGTGAGCCGCAATGGCCGGTGCTGTGCCAATCCGAAACCGGGAACCTGGAATGTCTTCCGGGTCTCCCACACAGGTGCAGGGTCCCAAAGCTTTGGGCTGTCCTCAACTGCTTTCCCAGGCCACAAGCAGGGAGCTGGATGGGAAGTGGAGCTGCCGGGATTAGAACTGGTACCCATCTGGGATCCTGGCACGTTCAAGGTGAGGATTTTAGCCGCTAGGCCACACCACCAGGCCCACCGTGATCTTTTTTTTTTTTTTTTTAAGATTTGTTTATTTTTAGTGCAAAGTCAGATACACAGAGAAGAGGAGGAGAGACAGAGAGAAAATCTTTCATCCGATGATTCACTTCCCAAGTGACCACAATGGCCAGAGCAAAGCCAATCCGAAACCAGAAGCCTGGGACCTCCCCTCCTGGTCTCCCATAGGGGTGCAGGGTCCCAAAGCTTTGGGCTATCCTCGACTGCTTTCCCAGGCCACAAGCAGGGACGTGGATGGAAAGCCGGGCTGCCAGGATTAGAACTAGTACCCATATGGGGTCCTGGCACTTGCAAGGCAAGGATTTAGCCACTAGGCCACCACGCAGAGCCCTGCCGTGATCTTTTTTTTTTTTAAGATTTATTTTTATTTCTATTATTTTTTTATTGGAAAGGCGGCTATACAGAGAGGAGAGACAGAGAGGAAGATCTTCCATCCGATGATTCACTCCCCAAGTGAGCGCAACGGCCGATGCTATGCTAGTCCAAAGCCAGGAGCCTCTTCCGGGTCTCCCACACAGGTGCAGAGTCCCAAAGCTTTGGGCCGTCCTCTGCTGCTTTCCTGGGCCACAGGCAGGGAGCTAGAAGGGAAGTGGGGCTGCAGGGATTAGAACCGGCGCCCATATGGAATCCCAGGCGTGCAAGGCGAGGACCTTAACCACTTGCGCCACCGCGCTGGGCCCTGCCGTGATCTTTTTTAAGTACCCCAGTGTCCCAGTACAAAGCCACCGGATTCCTGTACTCCCAGCATCATTTGCACCGCTGGGCTGAGCAGTGCGTGGCCTGTGGGGCTGGCCATTCAGCCTGTG